ATATATATAATTTTTAAAAATTCCATAAGAAACACCAGGATAGGCAGTTTAGAATAATTTCTAAACATGTAAATAAGCAGAATATTGGCCGGTAAATGATTTTTATTCATTTATTTTTTTCACGTTGACCTTAAACCAGAACATCAATCATCATTTCATGTTTGGAATTTGTTGGTTCAGTTGGTTAAAAATCCAATTTATGAAGCCGCATCAGTGGGTGAGATTAAGACTTAATTCAGCCAGACTGGGTTCCTGTGTTCCAGTGAGATAATTGGACTTCTTCTTCCTCTCCGCAGTATCTGCTGAATGACAAAGAAGTCAAAATCAAGACGGCGCTCTGGATGGCAGAAAACTCCGACTACCTCAAAGAGCAGAAAGGTACTTTCAGGATGCAACGGCAGAATTTAAACTTTCATTTGCATGCCGCGGCTGCTTCGTCCCGAGACGATGGCTTCCTTCCACTTTTTAAAACAGAGCTGAACCTCCGCCTGAACCCGTTCGGGTTGTGTTTATACTGAATGTTTTCTTGCTTTGTTTTTTTCTTTAGAGAAAGAGGCGAAGATAGCGAAAGAGAAGGAGCTCGGCATCTACAAAGAAAGGAAGGTAAAAACTTTGAGGAGGCAGGTTTCTAACCAGTCAGACAGAAAAAAAAAAACAAAAAAAACCTGCAAATGGAGCGTAACACAATTTGTCAGCCGAATCTGTTGGTATCTCAGAGCTATCCGACCGCCAGGACTGACCGCTTATCTACCCGAAATCTGCACCTTCCATCCTGTCGTGAGGCCAGTGATTCCTGCAGCTCTTCCTGTCTGTTGTTTTCTCTCCGTCGGACACCGATTGTTGCCGTGGTTAAAGGTTTGGGGCCAGGAGAAGACAAAAGAGTGCAGCGTTTTAGAAGAAATACAGCGATTTTGAGAGCCAAAAACCATCTTCCAGCCACCAAACCCAACAATTACTTCATTTAACTGAAAACTGTTTTTTTCAGATACTTCTCTAAGCGCTCGTGCAAGGATCTCAGAAAAACACAAATGGTATTAAACCTGTATTGTAATGCCAAATGCATAATTTCCTGTAATGGCTTGGATTTTGGTGTTGGGAATCATATGGTCAGTTTCCTAAATCCCGAAGCCACCAGGAAGCTATTATGTCCGACCAAAGATTAAGCTGGAATTATGATTCTCTGATGAGCGTATGCCGTCCAAATCTCAAATCAAAACAGAACAAAATGGACCTAAGCATCCATCAGATTGGGCTAAAAAGGAGGAAAAAAACATTTTGGAAAAGAAAAACGACCCCGTAGTGCACATTTAACCACGTCTGTACACCTACAGACAGCACAATAATACAACAAAAGGCGTAGAATAGCCATATAGTTTACGGCACTTTGTGTAAAACAGATAAAATAATGCCAGTAGAAGAAAAAACAGCCGTTAAGAGGTCGACTGTGTGGATCTAATGTGTGGTCGGACATATCAAGGGTACAAATTAGGCTGCTGTTTGTGTGGAAGTGCGACCTAAGTGTGGATAAAACCCAGTTTAATATGGTTGCTCTTGTATTTCTGGGCTCTGTAACATCTACCATCTATGTAATTATTAAGATAATCACTTATCTGTAGATTATTTTGTTTATAAACCTTCGTATCACAACATCCAAAAGCTCCAGGTAAGTCTTCAACTGTCACTCTTTGTGTAACGTTCAGTTTAGTGTCGAAGGCTGCTTATATGTAAATCAAAACCTGATTTGAATCGGGCCACCACCTCCGTCAGAGTGTTGTCCTTGTGCAGCGATGCTCTGCTCCTAGTGCTCCTGCAACACTTATAACACTCCTTTGAAATCCTGCATAAATCTCTTAAATGGTGTCAAAACAACAACTCTGCAACTTGAATTCCGTTTTCTCAAAGAGGAAGAAGTCGTAAGGAGGCAAAATTTTGTTGTTGCAGCCGATAAAAGTTGTGTGTTTTTAATGTGCCTGTGCAGAAACACAGCCGTGGAGTTCAGGTTATTTGTGCCAAACGTTCTTCCTCAGACGCATCAGAAGGTCACCTCCATGGAGAAGCTGCAAATGGAAACCATCCAACGGTCACAAAACATTTATTGATAGCATGAAAGAAGTCTGATTAGGAATGTCAACTGGGCATCATTTTTTAGTTGATCAAGGACGTGAAGCGTTACAGAAGTCTTTGTCATGGTGCCCATTGCTAGCTAGGAATGCTCTCTGCTAGCCAACATGAACTAGTCCGAATGACTGCCTGGAAATGGTATTGAATTGGGACTTGCTATCAGTAGATACTAAATGACTCGGAGTTAAAAATACTTGATCAGGACATCCCTCGTGGGACGTAGGCGAGGCATCGCCACTGCTTCCCAGAATTGGATTCTTGATGCTCATCAGCAACAAGACTTACAGCCTTTCTGTCATTCAAACATCTGATTGGACGACGCTTCACTTGACTGTCTACGTCTGGATTTCAAACCGGACCAACATGGCGACTCGCTAACTTTCTTTTATTATGAAAAAGGCTTGGCCAAATATTTCTTAAAACCTTTGAGCTACGAAATAAGCTGCTGAAACTGTCCTCATTTAAGATTAACAACAGCTACTTTGAAAGTTTTGTGAAAGTTTTTTGCTCCTCATTTGCATAAAGTACCTGAAACACAACTTTATGCTGATGAGGGGCGGGCAATGTGACGCCACGCATCTTGAAACGCAACACAACGCTGCCGGGATGCATTGCCGGGCGTTTCACATAGACAACAAATGGAAAGGGATGAATCCTTTGGACACATCCTGTAGTTGTGATTCACATTTAAGAAGCTGGAACCAAAACATTATTGACATTTTTGAGCAATAAATGACTGAAACATCGGAGCCCCGCCCCACGCTCCTCATTTGCATAAAGTAGCTGAAACACAACTTGGGTTGGGCAACGTGATGCGATGGATCTTGAGATGCAACTCAGCGTTGCCGGGATGCATTGCTGGGAAACTGATGAATCCTTTGGAAACACGCTGTAATTTTAGCTCACATTTGAGAAGCTGGAACCAGAAAACAATTAATAATGAACGACTGAAGCAGGTGATAAACTAAACGTAGTTTAAGAAAATCCATTAAAGCGGTCCGGTGGAGTCACGGGAACAGAGTGAGACTCCTAAATGCAAACAGACATCCAGTAAGTCCTGTGAAACTGGTCGGCTCTCATTTCCCATCAACACACAGACCCTCCGTTAGTCCCGACATCTGTTGGCTGGCTTTAACTAGCTGGATTAACTGCAGTGGAACAGACGTCTAATGAGACATGCGGCCTCCCGACAGCTCCGATCCGACCAGCAGCGTTCTGTCACATCACCAACCAGCGACTGAATAAATAAGTGGAGGCACCTTCTGTTTGAGCTGCGTGGAATCAGCATCTTTTACAAACCGGCTGATGGGCTGCTGCGGCAGACGAGGATTTTGGAGTTAAATCGACTGAATGAACTTTTAAGTAAAACTGTGCTGATGTGCTGCCACAGTGTCGCAGTGAGGTCGAGGTCAATGTGGAACAACCGAGTCCCGGCGATAACCCCGAGCTGGTGCTTTAATTGAGATAAACTGCAGATTACAGAAGGGTCTACGTTTGCCTCGGCTTCATTTTTAGACGGCCTAAATGCTCCAATAAGAACTCTGTCCTGATAACTTTTATCTGCTGGATGGAAGTGGAGTTTATTCGGCAAAGTCATACGAACTGGAAGGTGATTTATGTGTGCAGCCGCAGCCAGGAAGGTGTTTGTTTGGGTTTTAATCGAAGGTACAAAGACGAGGAAAAAACTAGAAAGAGCTAAATAAACAAACACTTTTATATTTTTAATATTTGTACCCATTGAATTAATTTTTCCAGTGTTTTTTGACACTTGAGTTAAAATATAACTTTAATCTATTGATGGGAGTGTTGGTACTAGTCTCAACCACTACGTTTAACTTTAGTGATTCATTTAAGCCGAGTAGTCTCTGATTTTTGGTCATGTGACTGTTGGTTGCCGCTGACTCAGTCGTAGTTTCTCCGTTGCAACAAGGAGCGCAGATTTTTTAGTTTAGTTTTTTACAGAATCTGATTGCTGCGAACAATTCATTTTTGACGATTAAAAAAAAAAAAAAAAAATGAAGTCATTACAGTGATTTTTGGATTTGGTTTACATGAACTGCTCTAAAAACACGATAATTTCAAGGACTGACATTAAGAATATTTGAAAACCCAACCTTTTTTTTTTCTTTTCTGTTTTTACAGTTTCTGTAACTTTGGCATTTTGCTTGTTTGTTTAAACAGTAACCTGCCTTTCTAACAGAATTCTAGTTAAAATCTCTTGAAAACTGGATTAAGAGTTTCTAGAAACGGACTTGGACTGATCCAGAGTACACTATTCCAGAGTAGGGCAGTAAATCTGGTAACCGATATTCATCTAAATTTGATAAATGTCACCAACGTGTCTCCAGAGTCGATGACCTTTAGCACCTCGTTCATGACGCCCCACCTGAGCAGGCTGCTGCTCTTCTCAGATGGTTATTTCCTGGATCATTTTGAGTGTTTTTCCACATTTGTTTTGTTTTTCTTTTGCTTTAATGACCTTTGTTTCTGTTTGAAACCTCAAAGAGAGGCCCCTCGAAGCGCCGCCCTCCGATCCGGGCCAGCACCGCCGACGAGGCCATCGAGAAGATGCTGGAGCAGAAGAGGATCTCCTCCAAGATCAACTACGACGTCCTGAAGGACCTGAACGTCAAGCCCGGCTCCAGTCCGGCTCGCAAGACCGAGTCCCCGAAGAAGGAGCCGACCGCCGCCAAGCTGACCGGACGCAACCGGACGCCGGCCAGAGCGCCGCTGAGCCTCAGTACGCCGCTCAGCTCGCTGGGAAAAAGGTCAGTGGACAACCTGATGAATGTGAGGCTTTAATGTGCCGACATGACCTCAAGATGATAAATTTAAGGACGCAAAACAATAAAATAATTTTAAAAAACGAAGCTTTTTTTTTGACAAAAGACAAGAAATTTTAGTAGTTTAACAGTCACTAGACCCAAACAAAGATTTGGACGAACCACAGAAAATCTGGTAACCGTCTCGGTATTACTGAACACAGGTTTTTAGGTACTTGGCCTCAGTTCTGCTGTGTTTTTAGTTTCAGTCCAGACTGACTCCATGATGTTGAGACCGATCTCCTTGTTCTCGTTGTGGTTGAAGAATCGGACCATTCTGCTCTGTAGGACGCTACGATAATGTCATCACTGGAGATATTCTGGTGTGAGACTGAAATGGAAAAGTCTCCGTAATAAAGCACTCGACTTGACTTTCATGGATTTCCACAAAATAAAATCTCCTGTGACAAAGCTCAAGTCAACCATCTCGTCTCCACGTCAGGGATCATCCTTAAGTCTCAGTCATCAATGACGTTCCTGCTGTTCCGTGTGTGTGAACGTCACTGTTCAGTTAATTAATAAACTCAGAGGAAACCGTCCTAAGAAGCAGCAAACTGAGCCTTTAGCTGCTGATAACATTTAATACACTCGTTATTATCGAATCTTATTGCTGGTTTATTCTGTGAAAAATCAATCAGCGCTGATTTTTTTGTACATGTACTTCAGTGACGGCTACGCTGGTGTTTTATGGAACAGTTTGGATCGCAGCAGGTTCAGATTCTCCTCTCACAGAGTTCAGTTTGTTCTGTTTCCGTCCTCAGATGGCGAACAGCAGTGATGATGTCCAGCCTCAGTATCAACACTTGGTTTTATTTCCTTCAGTAAAAAAGTGTCAAAATAGGACTGTATTGGAAGATTAGAGTGTTCAGACGATGATCAGCTGCTATCAGATGTTGGTAATAATGGTCCTTTCATTGTCTAGAACTTGTTCTGACCATCACACGTGCTGGTATGAGTCTTAAACCCAGAATGAATCAGTTTTGTGTTGTTTTGTGCGTCTTTGGGGCAGTTTTTTTCTCGTAGTGGTCATTTTGTGGTTATTTTTTGCCATTTCGCGTCTCTCTTTTCTTGCTCTTTGCTTGTTTTTCTAGTTTTCTGACATTTTGCGTCTTGTTTTTCCGGTTCTGTGTCTAAGTTGTCTTGTTTTGTTTGATTTTTGTCGCTTTTTTCTCATTTCGTGTCTCGTTTTTGTCGTTTCGTGCGACGTTTTGATTGTTTTACGTGTCTTTTGCATCTTTGACATGATCATTTGCTCCATAATATTGATGCTCAGAGAAAATGAACAGAAACCAGATTTAGATGGATGTGAACCTGATCTGGTTTCAGGTTCTACCAGAACTCAGATGTGTTCTTCCTCCTAAATGTCATGTGTCTATCTGCTGTGCTGATGAAGTTCTGAGGCTCAGAAATAATGTAATAAGTCCATTAAGGTGATCAATCTGGAGCCTCCTCTGTGGACTTCAAGGTTCCTGGAATATTCACAGTCTGGAGGTAGAACTCTGGTCAGTAGATAAAGAAGCAGCTGGTTCTGTGGGAGTCAGATCTGGTTTTTATTAACTCTCATCTGACTGTGGATTCAGTAAAGTTTCGTTTTATGGATGTTTTGGTTTGTGAAAGAAGCAGAACTCACAGTGAAGGAGTTTTGTGTGTCTCTGGTTGGTTTTGTTTGTTTGTTTGTTTGTTTGTTTGTTTGAGCGGACGGACAGAAAACGTGAGATCCGTCAACCCTGGCGTGGTGCTATACGGCTCTTAAGCCTATTTTAAACTGTATTTTTAAATCGTAATCCGGCTGATAATCCCCGTTTTCACTAAATATGTCCATAATCTGATTACATCTTGTTGTAACTTTAGCCAGCTTCTCGTATCCTAATTACCCAACACACACATTCTGTCACTGAACCAAACGCTTCTTCTTTTTTTTCTCTCTTTAAGGTTTCCACCATCTTGCGAGCATATTAAACGGCTCCGAGTAAACACAACCTCCTTAAAAATAACAGCTGCTGCCGTGTGCGAGGTCCTTCCACCGAAATCCGGTTTGGTGCATTTTTAATAAATATTCAATCCGCCGCCGAACCAGTTCGGATCGTTTAATCAGACGATCTCGGCGTTCCTTCCCTTTGTTAACACTTTTACCTGTCGTGTCAGCAGCCACTTTCCCCCCCTGATGAATATCACCCAGAGCACATAAATCCATATTTAATTATGTTTGGGCCCCTCAAACCGTTAAATAATCTCGAACGCAAACAGCAGATGCTCGATTTGAATGATGCCGAGTGTTTGCTCGGGTCTGAGGCGGCACCGGGCGCTTTTTCATCCTCCTCGTCAGGGTCAAACCCGGCAGCTTTTTGTTTTTTTTTTTTGTTGTTGTTTCTGATAACGAGGACGAATCCTGACTGCTGTCGCCCAAAATAATCACCTGCGACAAGCGGACAGATGCTCCCTCTCGTGTTATTTATCTTTGTTTGTTGCTTCCCGGCTTCTCCTGTGGGATGTTTTTTGGTTTTGTTTCCTGGAGATGCTCCTCGTCTGCGGACGGATCCACGGCGAGCCTTTCAGGCCGCTTTAATGGGTTTTCTGCAGCACTTTGTTTGGGGGAAATTGGTTTCCTATGGCTCTGTTTTTAAACCTCTTTGAGTTAATGTTGGTTTTAGGTGCCGTCCAGGAGGTTTACGGGGCTCCTATAGAGGCAGCTGTGCAGCGATTAGCAGGACGTATACCCCCCCTCTCCACAGCTCTGCGGTTCAGCTGCAGTCATCTGGTTGCAGTTTGCTCGGCCTTCGTAAACGTCGCAGCGAGCTCTGCGATTATTCGCTGCGTTCGGTCCCAGGCCCACCGAGGAGCCTGATAAGTCGGCTGTTTATTGGGAGTCTTTTTTTAGTGCCGGTTTCTTTTTCAAGTCGAAGAAAATGAATTTATAAAAGCGCTCGTTAACACCCCGCAGAGTGAACGGACAAAAACAACAAGCACAGACTCTTAAGGTTTGAGGACGTACAGTTGTTATAAAAAGACATAAAACCTTTTCTTTCTCACTGTCTGACATTAAGTCAGACTAAACTTTTCCAGTTTTAGGTCAGTTGGGATTACCAACATTATCTCTATTTGCTAAACGCCAGAATAACTTTAAAGTCAGAAGTTTACATCCACTAAGATGCCTTCAGACTAATTAGGAAAGCTCAGCTGATGATGTCATGGCTTTGGGAGCTTCTGATAGGTTAATTGGAGGCGCACCTGTGGCTGTGGTGATGTTATGGCTCAGGTTATGAGTCATTTTATACAGTGTGTGTAAACTTCTGCTTTCAACTTTTTGCTTTTTCCTTTACTTCTGCTCAGGTAAAAGACCAAATGCATCCATTTGTTTTTTTGCAAATGTGATATTTACATCCATGCTAGTGTGTGATGCTACTGTGTTAGCTGTAGCTATATCACTGCTTTAGTTTATTATTATTGGTTTATAGCTTATCTGACACAATCCACTGAACTGGTGCCGTGTTCCAGTGATAAAGCGTCTGTACCATTGATTTGATTGTTTTAAAATCAGCTGTTTATTAAGGACGGATGCTCATTATTAGTAATCTAGGAGTCAGGCTTAATTTTTGGATGCAAAAATAAAAATCCACAACACAAAAAAAAACAGGTGACAAAATTTGGTTGAAATGCCGTTAGTTTAATTAATAGAGAACTTTACAGAATTATTGGCTCTTAAATCTGTGATTACAACCATTCATCGATTAATTGACGAGCCGCCAGTTGTTGAAACAAACGCCGACTATTTATTATAACTGATTAATCGATTTGAATATTTTTTTTTTAATTGAAAGAAGTCAAAATTTCTTTGATTCCAGCTTCTTGAAATGTGAAAATTGACCAGTTTCTTTCGTCTTCAGTGACATTAAACTGAATATCTTTGGATTGTGGACAAACAACAAGACATGTTTCACCATTCTCTGACAGTTTATAAACCAAACAGCTAATCTAATATTCAGGACAATGATGAGCAGATTTGTGGACAGTGGATGAATAGTTTTTTTTGATCAAACACCTGCAAATCCAACGATGGAATTTAGCACGCCGACGTTAGCGTTTAGCTCAAAGACTTTTTGAAATGTGCGAAATTAACCTTCAGCAGCCAAACTGTGGATACCAGGATGTAAAGACAAACAACAGGGGCAAAAAAAAAACCTGCAATAAACGAGCAAAATAGCTGAAAAAAACCCCATAAAAGCCATCAAAGCTCCCGGCGCTGCAGCGTCTCTCTGGAGGACAAACCGACACTCCTCCGCTGACAACATGATTGATGACACAGATTATGACACATTACAGGCTTCCCGTTTAGACGGCGGTAATGTGATGCCGTATTGATCGCAGGTCGGAGGTCGGCGTCGCTTGCCGGCGGATCGGCAGTGTTTTGCTCGAGGGCACTTCAGCAGAGAGTTTGTTTCTGCCTGATGAGGCTGAAGAGTCCCATTCACCCCGAACACAAAGCTCAAGGACGGAGAGGAACTTCAGAACGACAAAATGGAAACTTGTTTTTGGAGCGAATCCTCGACACCGCGAGCGCACTGAAGGCTGAGCTACAATAACTCGTTCTTTTGTCTTTATTTTATCGACTGTAGCTTCTGCAAAGTGGCCTCTAGTCTTTATTTGGTCCCACTAACAGTAACAATTAACCACAAAACCCACCGGTGAATTTATTTTTCTTTCAAATCATCAAAATTGCACAATTCATCAGAGCCAAAAACTGTAAAAACAGAATAAAATGTTAGACTTTCACCTTTCCAGTGGTCTTTGAATGTGACATGTGGTATAGTCAGGACAATTAACCAAATATAAGCTTATATTTAATCAAATTTACTGTATAAAAGCCAATAAAAAACATGCAGTTCAATCAAGCTTAAAATAGTGATATTTGATCTAAAATCTAACTTAATCTAATTTATCCAAAACAG